TACGAAAACCCTCCCTCCCCCCCTTCAGGCCTCTCCCTGTAACACTTTGTTCCCACAGTCCCTACACCCCTTCCCCCCCCAGGGTGACCGATCAATTCGTCGCAGACAATTCGTCGCGATCAATTCGTCGCGATCAATTCGTCGCATGATCAATTCGTCGCATAACAATTTGTCGCGTTCTGTTCGTCGCAACTAATTCGTTGCATACATACGATCGAATGAAAAATTCTCTCTTCTCTCTTAATGAATTTTCTCGTTCAAGAAAAAAAATATTGAGGTGTTATCCAATTATATTTACAATAGCATAAATTATTTATAATATACAAGAAAAAAAAACGTAAAAACAGTTAGAGAGAGATATTAGCTGCGATATTGCTTAAGTATTGATCCAGTTGAGATGAGTCGTAAGTAGTGAGTACGCGTTCAATTCTTTCGTCGAGTTTTCTATAACACGCTTTTTGTGTTTTAACTTGATGACCTTGAAGGATCTTGGCAATATCAATTTCAAATTTTGATTGTTCACGACGAATCTTTTCTGTTAATTTAATGATGTTTGGATGATTGATGGATACCCGACTAGCGAAAGCATTGTGCCAACCTTCTACAGCATTATTTGATCTTGGTACACCTGCCACGACACGATCATATATGTTCCATAGTTGATGTTGAAATTGAGGATTTTTTCGACCAGTACCTAACAAATACCAAACCGTAAAAAATTTCTCAGCAATCACAAAAAATTTACCTCTTCTTTTTCGTTCACCAATCCAAGTTTTTTCAAAATAATCGAGTAAATCGTCTGCATCATCGTCGAATTGTTCGGCCACCAAGTCAAACGCTGTTGTGACATCACCTACGGGAACAAAAGCAAGAGCAATCAATTTCTTAACATTTAAACGAAAATACTCATCCTCTCTATATTTCGTCGTCAATCCTTTGCTTTGAACTTGTCGCCATACCGCTTGTCCGAAGTGAAAAAGACATCCTGCAATTAACAATTAATTAAGATTTTTTTTTTCGTAAGCAGAGCAGTACCTTTATGTTGAACATTTGGTAACATTTCTTTTACCGATTTGATTGTGCCAGCTTCAAAGTCAGTCATGATTGATTGAGGTTGAAAATCATCTTGCTCAAGAACTTTTTCGAAGAATAAATTATAATCATTTGTGCTTTTTCCAATTAACAGTCCGTAAACGAGAGGAATAATTGAATTTGTCATCATAGCATGCAATGTAAACAGCTGATAAAATTCATCAGGACATACCTAAACAAGAGCCAATTAAGGAAAGGAAAGAAAACAGTTAATTGATAGTTTACTTTGAATGTGCCATCAGCAAACCAATGCTTGTATTGTTTCAATATAGATAAATTAGTTTTCGTTGTAAAAATAATTAACTCTTCACTTTCAAAAAGAATGAAATCTTCACCACGATCTGTTTTTCTTAGTTTTTCTGGTATACGACCATCAGGATCTAATGTTGGAGCAGCACGTTGACGTCGAATAGTTAGTATCAGAGCATCAGTTTTTGGAAGTTGACCAGCTGCACTAAGGGGATATGTTCGTAAAGCGGTGTGAAGTATTGAACTAGTTGGTTCATCTGTAATTGCAGCACGAGCTTTGATGTCAATTTTTAATTGAATAGCAGGTATAATATCAGGATTAGGAGCATGAGAATGAGCTGTTGGTGGAGAGAGAAATGTATCCATTGATAAATTAGTATGGCAGCGTGCTAAATTGAAGAATTTTCTTAATGAGATATATTAATGAACAAAATCAATTTACCTTTGCAATCACGATTTCTACAGCGAAAGATCAATTTATTCGTTGTTGAACGTTCAAGTGTGTAAATGTAAGATTCATAAAGAAGCATTGATTTTCCTTTTTCAGAAGTGAGTGTTTGAATTTGCGACATTTTGTAATATTCTAACGTAGTGTACAGTGAAATGAGTGAGTTCTTCATGGGTTAGTGTGCTCTTATATATACCCCAGTAGCATAATTAAGAACATTAGATCAATTCTGTGGTTGAGTTAGATTAGACGGACAGATATTTTAGAATGACAAATCCAATTATCTCTTGATCACTTTAACACAGTTATACTCAACATGCACAAGTGTTCCTTTTTTAATAATCCGTTTTCCCAATTTAAAATTATAGTATTGAGAAAAAATTTTAATCTTGAAGAGCTTTTAAAAATTTTTTTTTATATAATTTATTTAAATCTAAGTTCTGTATTAGCACAGATAAACACAATTAATTAAGAAAAAAAAAACATATGACAATTCTTTGTACACGACGAGATGTGTGAAATGAGAACATTTCAATTAATAACTCGCGACGAACAGAACGCGACAAAATGTTATGCGACAAATTGATTGTGCGACAAATTGTTTGCGACGAATTGAACGCGACGAATTGTTCTGCGACGAATTGAACTAGCACCTGGTATATTCTGTTTGACATTATCGCTGCTGCTATCATTATTACTGTTCTTATCTACATCGTTTCCGTCATCACCATCATCATTGCTGGTATGTCTATAAATGTAGATACACGTAAAAGATACAGTTCATAAGTTTTTATCATTCTACGAGACTTAATAACAAAATAAGTAAATCAACTTACTCATCATGAATAGCATCACAGTCTGAATCTTTTTTTGGATCATTTTCATAATTAACGTCGTTTCTACTCTCTACAGAACGATCGACTTCCAAATTTTGATTTAATCATTTTAATACATATTTTGATCTATCACGTCCGACATCGAACTTGTTTGATATTTTCTGATAATAGCTGGCAGCTTCTAATGGACTACCAGTATCTTCAAGTGTCTTTACTGCATCATTGAGTACTTTACAAAACTCTTCTTGGCATGATAGTACTTCAAATGTACCTGAAAAGTAAAACACAAAAAAAAACGTTAGAAAATACACCATCTTAAGCGAAATTAAATTCTGAAAATTAACTAAGTACCGGCGTTTTTCGATTTCTTCTTGTCGTTTGATTGAATTACTACTTTGAGTATGGGTTTGCTTCCTTTAACTCGTTCAGAAAAATAAGTACGAGTGCCATTATCACTAATTTTGTTATAATAAACCTTTTCACCAACTGGACAGTGAACGGTGCTAATCCATTGTTTTATAATATTATCAAGAGTTTTTGGTAAAGTAGGATATGGACGGTCTTTATAATATTTAGTCGAGTGTAAAGCATCTTTATACAATAATTCTGAAAAAGAAAAAATCAAAGTGCAGAATTGATGACAAAGTCTGCTTAGTATCATGAGGTAACTCACCAAATGATGTGTATTTCTTATTCACAATATTAATATTATGAACCATTGTTCAGTTTTGGTATTTATCTTTTAATATAGAATAAGATGGATGAGAATTATGCGTAAAGGTAAAAACAGCAATCTAAAATATTAAAGAAAAACGTATTATTTTGAAAAAGTATATTCCGCGCAGTAACTCCTTCCTAACTCAAGTGACTTCCAAACTTGATTTGGTTCCTAACTCAAGCTTTACTGTTTGAAAGTAAAAAGTAGAGCCAAAATGTAAATATAGTTTATTTATATACAATTAACAATCGAAAAAATATAAAGTATATAAAGTATCAACAACACAAGCAAATACCTGCATATACAAATAAAAATCCTAGCCATTCTTGATACAATCTCATCGATAATGTTCTCCAAAAAATCATAAGTTCTCTATCACATCTAATTTTTTTTATCTGGATTTGGTATTATGTGCTACCATACTTCCTAATCCCATGTCAAAAAGTATGGGCCGGTTCCGGCAGGAAAACACCGGAGAATCATCGGAAAAAATTCCGAAAATTTCAGGCTGGAATGCTGCTTCCACTTCCCGCTATTTTCCGTGTTTTCCAGAAGGATATGGTGATTTTTCCCGCATTTTCCTGCCGAACCCTGCAGTATCCGGTGGCCGGAACGATCAACCTGGGATCCTTTCAACATACCCCCTAAATGAATCGTTTTTTTTCATATAATTCGTATAAACTATTCAATTGCTTTTGACAGCTTTTTCGTTCTTTTGTTGCCCGTAACGGCCGCTTTCTACCTGTTGTAATTTATTTTACACGTTGATATGTATAAAACTCTTCAGATAATAACATATCCATAACTTTCCATACATTTGGATGAGCTTCCACCAATTTACGACTGATACTATTGTTCATTCCTGAAAAACATAAAACAAGCTATATTTACGTCACGTCTCGCTATAATGCCGAGTTGGATTATGAAAAAGTTAGAAACTTCTTTACCAGAGAACTATTTTCTAAAAACATTCTCAAATCTTTATTCCTAAAAGTCATTTAGCTTTGTGAAGCCCTCACCCTTACCCTCATAATGATACATACACTCACAATTATTGTTTGTGAGCCAGGCAAGATTGTAAACGGAATACATTTCTTTACCAATGACACTAATCCATTCTTGGTTCTAATAATTCATCAAGTCGTAAATTGAATTTAAAGCACATGAATCAGAAAACACTTCTGGCGTAACATCTTTTCATACTTCTAAATAAGCATCTTCAACATCATCCATAGGCATGAGGGCAATGGCCATAAGTTTTCGACAAAAATCACGTACAGCATCAACATTTTCATATGCTGTTCTTAAATCAAGAGTTGATATCATTCTATATACACTTTGACAATGGTGAAAGAAGCAACCACATGACGCGTACCGGTTGGAAACTAATGCAGCAAGAAACAAAAAAAAACACTATTACGCAACAAATATAAAATGAAATCAGGAACTTACTTCAACAGCAACGGCCTTTATCAGACCGCCTTCAAAATCTGTCATTATGAATGTCGGCATCAAAACAGTTTTACGTCTTTTAGCTTCCGCTTTCAACGAACCAATTATAGCTCGATAACCATCCGTATGTTTTCCATCAAGCAATGGGTAGCACGTGGTAACAACTACAATAAGTAGAAAAGCAGCTTAATAACAAAGATCCAAACATCAATGAATTCAACCTACCTTCATCTTCGAAACAAGCAATTATACAAACCAATTGTGTAAACATTACCGGCGCCACCTTGAAGGTTCCATCAATAAATAACCATTCACTTTGAAAGAGAATATCCAATAGACGGTCACTTGAAAACACCAGTACACGTTAAAATAGTTTTTTATTAGATAAATCTTCTAGCAAGAACCTTTGACCATCAATATTTACCGTATATTTAGTTGGAATCACAAAATCTAAACCGGATGGTAATGGTGGCAGCAATGATAAACGTAAACGACTCAAACACGGTTCTAAACAATCAAGATAATGATACAGCAGTTGTAAAACGTTTTGTTTCATACTAAATAATTGAAAAAACTAAGTCAGCCTAGAAACTAACTTAACCATTTAACGGGCGAATTTAGGATAGCTAGGTTCTATCGATGTCGATAATGCAGCGAAATAGATTATGATCCAGATCATCATGCACGAGGTTATGGGTGTTCTTGGGTATGAATAAATTATCCACACTTACACCCGCGCTCATACTCTTGTTTTGTATCAAATGGATGATGTAACAACCACGTACTATACAAAATAAGCAACAAGTTCACTGCAGTACCAGCGTTCTTTCTACCAAATTCGTTTATCCTAGTTTATTGTAGTTTTTCAATCGAAAACAAAAAGTGGGACATATATTTCCCACCGCCCATCAAACGGTTAAGTTAGGAACGAAGTCAAGTTTGGAACTAATTCAAGTTAAAAACTATCCTGTTTATAAAAAATAGGGGATCTAGAAGAAAAAAAATAATAAGAGCAACTTACGCAATTGATCATATCTTGACATTCTGCACAACCGTGCTTCAGTAAGTTTTACTTTGTTAACTTCTTGTTCATATGTAGTGACTATGGAAAGTAATTCTTGTTTACATCGTTCACGTATTAATCCAATTAATTTTTTAGTAACAATAAGATCAGGATCACAAAAATGATCATGTTCTGATTTGTTCATATTAATATAACCACCGTCTACAGTGGTTTGGACCCAGATATCGCAATATTCAATATCACAACGCCAATAACGCTTTGCTTTTGTTGTTTTATTACATTTAAAGCAATGATTACCAACAATTAATAAGTCTTTTCCTTTACAGGTCATTAAACATTCGAAAAATGGCGTAAAGTTTGTTACTAATGCAACTGTTATTGCTTCATCGTCATTGTTTGGTTTCAGTGGTAAAGAAAACAACTGTGCCTGATTTTGTGGAGGACGTATTGGTGCAACTGCAGCATAAGTGGTATTATGTTGCATATGATGTAGTATTGAAGGTTGTTGATTAATTAATGATAAGGGGGTGAAATAATACTATCATTTGTCAATCCCATCGTGCTAGATGCACGCAATGGCATATGTGCTGTTGTTGTGGTTAATGTATTTGTTCTCCTGGTTGTTGTACTGAGAGCCATTATAACAGCACTTGCAATATCTTTAGCACCAGATTCACGTTGCTGGATTCGATTTCCATCATTCATTCTCATTGCTATCACAATTGCGTTGGCTAATGTATTTGCATCAGCGTCATTAATAGTAACATAATTTCTTGTGTAATTGTTCGCTACAATATCAACAAAAAATCAAAATCCAATGAAAAGCATTAGATGAGTGCAAGAAGACTTTAAAACTTACTTGAACTTCCAGCACATTCACTCATATTTGTTCACCGTTTGATAAAAAAAACTATACGTTTATTAATAAAAATATTTACAAATTAATTGATCATAACAAAAATAAACTGATTTTACACGTCTACTGTGTCTTTCTAAAAATAAAAACAATAAACTGACCAAGTGTTTATTTACTGTGCTCTTATATTGACCAGAGCTTCTCTACAATGAATACTGACTAGTATATTTAGAGAAAAGATGCCCTTGTCATATCGCAACACTTTTGCCTATGTGAGTAAGTAGGTGAGTCACTAACTTGTTGCATCCACTATGATTACTAAGTGCCATTAGTATCAATGCCAAGAGAAAGAAACTGATATCATGTTATCTTTATTTCTAATAATTTCTGATGCTTTTTAGTAATTTCTCCCAATAGAAATCAGTTCATTTCTTTAAACCAAAAATCAATTCAAATTATTGATACCGATAGACCTTGAAGAAAGCAGAAAAAGTCGTTGGAAATAAAGTAAAACCACTTGAAATCATCGAAAGCAAGTAAACGAAAAAAACAACCGAAATCAAAATTTTGGTTTTAGCCTTACTGTTGATGATTCCCATTGGTTGTAGATGACTTCTAATAATTGCATACCGTTTTCAATCATCCTTTGTATTCTGAACGTGTTACAGTGATTTCTGATGATTTCTAAAACTAAAAATCAATTGTTTCACTCTTGATTGATAACAAGGGAGCGGGGCAAAGCGATACTTCAGGAATACGTACTTCACTTGAACTTCGGTCCGTATTTCAAATTTTTGCTTGAAATACAGTCGTTGCGCGTTTGCTTCCTTTGTCGATACACATAATTGTAGAACATTACTAATACTTTAAGTATTGCCTCAAAACATCGCTGACAGCTTCGTTTATCGAAATGAAGATCACCGAAAAACAAGTATCGCCGATATATGTATCGCCGCTATTGGCATCGTCGAAATGATAAATCGCCAATAGTCACATTGCCGAAACCATAATTTCGCCAGAACACAGATTGCCGAATTTCGGCAATCTGTATTTCTGTGATGTGAGTTTCAGCGAAGAGCAGACTCACTGAAATTATTTTATAACTTTTGGGCAATATATCAAAAATTTATCACAGTCGGATTTTGTGAGTTACAGAAAATGGATTTTCGATGGTTTTCACTGATAAATTTTGTTTTGTCATAATTGCTTACCTTCGAATGTAGTTGTTAACAATTCAAATATTTGACTTTCTTCGAATGCATTATTTTTTGTTAGAAAATTCAAATCAATTATTTGAATTGTATCTATATTTCGACTTGAACAACCGTTAATAAATCTTGAAAGTAATGTCATTGTTGATGTTTCTTCGAAATCTAAATCATCATCAACTGTTGCTTCATCTTTTAATTCAATCAAACACTTTCGATCTTGTAAATCAACAAGAATACGACCTGTTGGAAAACTATTCGGTAATTTGAGTGAATATTTTTCTTGTTGATCATTTGATGAAAATATATTTGGATAAAGACGACAAATTTCTGGTAACGTTCCAAAGCTAAACCAACAACTAAATTCTCGTGCTGCATTATCAGCTAAATCAAGAAATATCTTTTCCGTTAAACCTGAAGCTTGATAAGTATCCATGGCAACAATAATGCTTGATTTAAGTGCACCAACAGCAGCACCACTAAAATTTGTTGTTATTTTCACAAGAAAATCCATACATTTACTAGTAAATATATTTGCATCGACAGATAATAATGGTTCAAGCATTTTCTTTCGAATTTGTGGTGATGGTCGACCAACAAAACATTTCGCTTGCATACGACGTAGAAATGCTTCATCCATCATATTTCGTCGATTAGTTGCGCCAAGTACAATTAAATTTGGAATATTTTTTACACCTTCAATATGAGATAGTAAAACACTAATTCCATCAACTTTTGATTGCTGAGCATTATTTGTTCGTTTTGGAACAAGTCCATCGATTTCATCAATTGTCATTGCACAAATCAAATATGGAATTGTATTCGATCGATACATTATATCAACAAGTAATCGTTCAGTTTCACCAACATATGGACGATTCAATTCACCAGCAGCTAGAGCTGTTGTTGTCATTGTAATACCGGCAAATGTAGCTGCACGTTTTAATAGTTCAGATTTACCTAAATATAGCAGAGATGCGTCATTTCATTTGTTAGTAAAAATTGAATGAGGATCGTTTACCTGTTCCTGGCGGTCCATAGAGTAGCAATCCTCTTCCAAATTTGACTTTTATTTTTTTTTGTGCTTCTTCTGGATTGACTTTTAGAAAAGCTTCGAGATTTCGAATTTTTTCTTCATTTTCAACAATTGTATTTTTCTTTCGACGCATTGGTTCCGTATGTTCTGCCAGTTTAGCTTGTGCTCGTTCAAGTAGATCCTTCGCAGTTTGAACACCCTTGTTCGCTTTGTTGATCTTTTCTTTTGCCTGTTCTCGTTGTGTAGACCAAGTTGCCGATGCTGTACTTCGATCTAAAGTGGCTGCTTTGGTGGTTAGTCTTTCGGCTTCAGTCAAGACACTTTGTTTTTCTTTTTCTGCATTTATTAATCGTTTTGTATACACTTCAACTTGTGTTCGTGCTCCTTTAGCCTCTTGTTCAAGTACTGAAACTTCTTTACGAAGTTTTTCATTCTCTCTTTTCAATTTTTCTTTTTCATCAGTCCATTCTTGTCTTCTCTTTTCATGGGCTTCCATATCAATTGTTCTATCTTTTAGACAAAATGTTCTCAAATAGTCATGAATATTGTCTAATACATTTCCATCATCATCATAGGTTTTTCGTATTTCAACAATAGCCATATCGACAGCACGATGATCAAGATAACTAATATATTTTGCTGTTTTAGTAATATGATGAAAATAACGTCGAATTCGATGAATATCTCCGAATAATGTCGCATCAGAATCTTCGTAAATATTTGCTGTCGGATTCAATAGCGTCGAAGGATCATTCATTTGTACATAATCTCTTATCATTTGTTTAACTATGTATTTGACCGATTGAATACTTTCCCAAGCTTTTTCATTAGCCACTGCATTTCGAAGATGATCAACAGTAGCGATACTTTCAGCTGAGAAATATTATGACAATAATTTCAAAAAAATGACAAAACAAAAACCCTAATCGATCGAGATTGTTTTGTAAAGACTCAAATTGAACATTGATATAATGTAATTCAAATCTTATGTCAACAATCATTTGTTAAAAGCTTACCTTCAAAAGCTTCCCGCCAAGTTTTAGCATTGTTTTCATTGCGTTGATTTTGTCGACAAATAATTTTAAAGAAACCTTCGAGAGTGGCATCATTTTGTTTCTCAGAAGGTGTTGTTGAAGCTTGAGTTGTAGTCGCATTGGCCATATTTCTTTGATAGTATTTGATAATATTTACTCGAACTTTTGTTGCCGAATTCGTTTTCCATACAGGAGGAAATTGATTTCGATCCGTTTGATCACATTGATAATCGAGTGCTAACAGTGTGAGTAAATAATTGAAGTTCCACGGTCCAAATGCATCATTTTTTCGTGTAAATAAATTCGGCTGATAGGTCAAACGCTCGCTTTGATTACTCATATCGATTGATTCACGTGTTGATTCGAGTGCATATTGATGAAGTATCGAAACATGCTTTCCATCGGGACCTTTTGGAAGATGAACATTTGGCATCATTAATTCGTTTACTAATGCTTCGACATGTTTATCTTTGTCAAATTTAATATAAATATTTAGAACAATTGCATCTAGAGTAACAACTTCCGCTGGTTGACGCTTTTCTGGTTGAACAGATGTCGGTTGTTCCGCTCTGATGGGGGCTGGTCGAAACTTGATATCTTCATCACCAGAACTATCGTCTGACATTTTTATCATTTAGTACAAAATTATCTGCAAAAAAGCAAAAACTAATGAAAATCTACGAGAGAATATTTCTTTTTTTTTGAAGTTGAAGTAGTTTCTTTTTGCTTTCAGTGATATCAAGTAAAATAAAGAATGATAATATCGAGAATATAAAATATTAAAAGGATATTTGAAAATGAATAATTTTACTCAACTACAAAGAAATATCGATTAATCTGATTGTTGTTTGTTTTTTTGTTTATTCAATAAAGTATTTGTGTTGATTACTGTCTGCTTGACGGATTGCTTTGACTGAGCAATATTGTGAATTTTNACAATATTTGGATGATTTAATGCAACACGGTTAGCAAATGCATTGTGCCAGCCTTCTACCGAATTATTGGATCGAGGTATCGTAGCGACGACACGATCATAAACGTTCCATAATTTATGATCGAATTGAGGATTCTTTCGACCAGCTCCTTAAAAAGTTCGGTATATTAGAAATTTTTCTAGAATTGAGAAAAAAATTGCCACTTCTTCTTTTTTTCACCAATCCATGTTTTTTCAAAATAATCGAGTAAATCGTCGGCGTCATCGTCAAATTGATCACAAATTAAGTCAAAGCCAGTGATAACTTGATCTAGTGGAACAAAAGCAAGAGCAATTCATTTTTTTTACATTTAAGCGAAAATACTCATCCTCATTACGTATATTTGGTTGTTAATCCTTTGCTTTGAACTTGTCGCCATAGCGTTTGTGAAAAATGAAAGAGACAACCTATAAAAAAATGTTTCAATTACTTTTTTTATGAATGGATTAGAAAGTACCTTTGTGTAACACATTTGGCAACATATCTTTCACTGATTTGATTGTGCCAGTTTCGAAATCAGTCATAATTGATTCAAGTTGGAAGTTGTCTTGTGCTAAAACTTTTTAGAAAAATACATTATAATCTTCTGAACTTTTACCAATTAATAATCCATAGACGAGAGGAATAATTGCATTGGTCATCATCGCGTGTAATGTGAAGAGTTGATAATAATCATCAGGACACACCTACATAAAAGAAAATTAGAAAAAAAAGAGACACATTTAATTGATAGCCTACTTTGAATGTTCCATCAGCGAACGAATGTTTGTTTTGCTTAAGAATGGATAAATTAGTTTTTGTTGTGAATATAATTAAATTTTTGTCTTCGTGCAAGATGAAATCTTCATCACCATATGCCTTTCTTAATCTTTCTGGTAAACGCCCATTGACATCGACTGTTTCAACAGTACGTTGTCGTCTAATCATTAGCATAAGTGCTTCATTTCTTGAAAGTTCACCAGCGGCACTTAATGGATATGTACGTAAGGCGGAATGAATAATTGAACTGGTTGATTCATCTGTTATCACAGCACGAGCTTTAATATCATTTTTTAATTGAATAGCTGGAACACGATCAGGTTGTGGAGCATGGAAATGGGTTGTTGGTTGGGAGAGAATTGCATCCATTGATAAATTAGTATGACAACGAGCTTAATGGATAAATGATTTTCATTTGAATTAATTAATTGATGTTCAATGCGAACTTACCTTTACAATCTCGATTCTGGCACTGAAGAATTAATTTAGTCGTTATTGTACGTTCTACAGTATAGATATAACCATCATGAAGCATCATTGGTTTTCCTTTTACAGAAAGGAGTTTCTCGATTTGAGACATTTTGCTTAAAAAATAGTGTGCTGTGGAAGTTAAAATTGCGAAGTGAAATGTTTCTTTTTTTTACCTGACTTGGTCCCATAATTAAGGATATTGGATCAGTGTTATCTTTAGTTTAGATTATGCTGAAATTCAGTCGCCGAGTAACAAATTTAATTATTCATCGCTCGCTTTAGCTCTATCACGATTGTATTGGAATAGTATTTCTTTTTTGTTGATCCGTTTTTTCAATTAATCATCTCGCGCTATTGTACATATCTCCTGTAATTTTTCATTTATTTTATGTTATTTCCATTGGTTATAAAACAAAAAGAATTGACTTAAGCGCGATGCAGCAATTAGACAGAAACGAACAGAACGAAAAAAAAATTCTGCGACGAACAGAGTGCGACAAAATGTCGTGCGACGAAGTGTACTAGTGCCCGATTTTTAAGGGTTATTCAAAACATTCAAAAGTTTTTAACGATTTTCATTGACAAGATACGATTATGAGTCTAAACAATTGTGATATTTGGGATCAGCGTGAAAAACTATGTCAGATAAAATAAATTCGAGAGTACTTTTTTCAATACAAAACTGACTCCTGAGGGACTACATGGGACGACTTTAATAAAATATAGCTGTTGGGACCACACGTGATTTTAGTCAGGAAAAGATTTTCTCCAGAATTTAGTCTATTCGACTTAGTTTTTGACGCTGATTCCGAATATCACAATCGTTTAGACTTATAATCGTATCTTACCAATAAAAATCGTTAAAAATTTTAAATTTTTTGAAAAATCATTAAAAATTAATATGGAAAAGATGTTTCTGAGCTCGGTTTCGCGCCGAAGGTGAACTTTTTTTCTATATTTTTTTACCATTCTGTAGAAAATTAAAAACTACATTACATATATAAAATCCGGCTTGGAGTTGTTTAATTTCAGAAACTGGCAGCAGCTATATTGTCAAAAATGAACCATTTTGAACTCATAAATTTTAACATTTCTCACTCATGTTGCACTATAAAAATGTAGTAAACAGATTATATGCAATAACTTAAAATAGTTTATCTTTTTCAGCGATTTATGCTCTGTCTTTTAGTATATTGCAAAAAATAAAGTATGTAATTTAATAACGCATAATTCGAAAGAACATTTATGGGAAGATTTTTGGCTATTTTTTTTATAATAAGTTAACAGTGCTCTAAAGTCGGTGTTGGCTAACTTTACTATAGTACATCCAAATGAACTAAAAATTGAGTTTTGCCGGTTTTAGACTATAGATTTGCAAATGCCATTAAACAAAAACTTAAATTTTGATCAGTGCTTGGTATACTGTGATGATCCTCAATCTTCTTGTGAACGCTCTCTTAATTCCATCGATGTCTTGTTCTTTGAGCTTTTCCTTGACGTGTAGTCGAATCCTTCGATTTCGTCGAGAACAGCCATATGACGACTAGGCGATTCAACGGAGACAGCGTGCTTGTTTTTTTTTGTTTCTTGGTTGCAATGAAACAAGAAACTAATCATAGATGATCATTATTTTGGGTTTTACTATTTTGGCTTCGAAAAATTCAAAACTCGTGTCTTTATGCACTACTCTTGCTTCTTTTGCTGGCTGAAGCTCACATCTGAAAATACATATTCAATAAATCTCCACACAAGTTTAATTTACATACAAAAAAACATTGTTCTTTTCTCCCACTGACAAGAGCATGATACGAACAATGCCATGAATAAAACACAACCTCGTCGCAAACATACATAATTTGTAAAAAATAATTGAAATTTTGTCATGATCAGATTTTTTTCTGTTTTGCAATGTGCTTCCTATCCATGATACAACTTTCACTTTTTAGTTTCACAAGTAAGCACAACTAACTTAATAAACAAACTGCTTTGCCTCTTGAAAGCTGTACCACGGATTATTAAGTGACTTTTGAAATATCTCCTTAGGATAAGTGACGTTCAGTTAAGAATCAACAGGGATCATTATTTTATCTATTACTTTAAGAGACGCACAATCTTCGAAAAAGAGTGTGAAAGCGCAATCATTGACTGTTAATATTAATGAATGACAGTCAAAAGAAAAGAAATTAAAAAAATACACGTAACAGATATGCTTCTTTTCTTTACAATCATTGTTCCCATCATCTTACTCTTATAATCAGTGACAGCGTACATAAAAGAGCTGCCGGATAGTATAGAAACCACATAGTCGAGAACTTTTTCAGAAAGCTCGATTTGTTTCCACGCTTTAAGAATTGATACAGAGACAAAACAAGAACATTTCACTAAGAGAGCACAATCATGGGTATTATATTTAATGTTGTATGCATCCCTTGCTATGCATACATTGCCAATCAAAATAGCTTGGCAGTTACAATCCGTTTGATACACGAGTTTCCTTGATATTCAAAGTTGACAGCGGTCATTCATTATGTTATTCAGAGATTGAGTTTCATTCCTTCTCTGCTTTGACTTCTAAATTGGATTTTTTCTTGTGCAGTCTCAATTGAATTGTATCACATATTTCTATAGCTTGAAGCAGACACCTCTATTACAATTTTCACTCTATTCGTTACAGCGTGATAGAAGTTTTGTTTTGTTTCATATACATCGATTTAAGATGATTCTTTGTCTGAAATGCCAGAAGTAAACAAACCGCTGCAGTGATTTGCATATTTTGTCTTATGCTGCAGTTTGGTCGACGTGCATACATATACAGAGAGATATAATCCTCTTCGCACAATCCCTTATTCAATGAAGTTGAATGAAACGCAACAATTTATGGTTGTGGCGTCATAAATCCTATCCAGACAAACTATAGAGCTGATTGTGACAGAAACATTCGACTCTAACACTATATTCGCACTCGAAGCAAGAAAAAGATGTTGTCGATAAATATAAGAAAGGATAGTTGTTTAAAATAGGTCTCACTTCAACTGCATTTCTAATGAAAGACATCAGCAGCTACAGAAGAATAGGAGTAAGCAGCAAAGAACATGCGTGGACTCCACCAAAATATAGAATAAGATATGAAAGTATCGCACATGTGTGTATGTAAGAAATTAGGAATGCAGAGTCCACCGAAGCTTTCATAGTACGTACATCAACATCAGAAAAAGGATTATGATTGTTACAAGTGAGTGAAAATATAACTGTTTAATCATCTTATCTTATGAGAGTTATAGGTCAAAACTTCCACCCCCACACCCTCAAGATTCTTTACTTCTGGTAAGACACATCAGATGCTTCTCATATGAAGGTAACTAAAGTGCTAGTTGATGAAAAGTGATGAAAATTATTGCGGGTTTAACTTCGAGATGAACTTCTGTTGATCGATTGAATTGGCAAGTACCAGAAGACTTCACGATATGGAGCTGAAAAGAACTTACTTACAGTACATTTTATGACAAAAGTTTTGATTAATCAAAGTAATCATGGGAATGTGCTTTCAATAAGGTTGTTCCTTGTCATAGATGAGCTTGTCTTGGTTTAGAATCTTTAGGAAATTTAGAATTCGTCTTACCGCAGCGGCTAATGCTTTTTCTTAGCAAATCTCTTCCTGGTGATACCTTACAGTCTTCTACGTCTCCATCCTTCAACGTCCAGTATAGACAAAACAGAATGCCAGTGTCGTTCGAAATTCTTGAAACTTTGGTTTTTATGGGGGAAGCGCTCACCAAGGAGTCTTTTATTCACCCTTCTCAGTTTATAGAACATGCAGTATTATTTACAAATTTAAAAATAGAAGAAATGAAGACCGTTGAGCATGAGATAGGTTTTCAATGAAGTTTAATTCGCTGCAATGTCAGATCTGATTGAAAAATCAATTAACACGTGAAATTATGAATAGAAGTTAGAACGCCTAGTTCTGGTTCAACATATCATGATGAAGATATCACGGTCGTGATGAATGATAATAGTCAGGAATGCATGACAAGATGAAGCATTGATGCAATTCGAGATTCAACAGTCCCTTTTTAAATGATTATTTAGATGCAGACTAGTGAACCTCGATATTCACTAGATAGAATACATTGTATGTGTTTTATACTTGACAATGAGTAAGTGAGCATCACAGAAAAGTCAAGAAACTAGTTTTTTGTAAGCCATCATGATCAACATTCAAAAGAATGAAAGATTTTGTTGAGTTTTTCTAAATTTAAACTAGTGGACGGCTAACTATCTGATAGTAGACATGAAAACAATATTTTTGAACAATTCGAATATGTGAGAAAACTTCTATGAGTAAATTTACAAAGCATGCCTATCAAACATAGTTGCTGTCGTATTTGTATAAAAAGCAAGGGATAAATAGCGAGCTTCAAGACTTCCAGAGACTTCAAGCATAGAAACTTCAAATTGCAAAAGTAATCGGACGAATGTCGCTTCCTATTCCTCCTCAATAGAAGGATGCTGGTGAAAGCTTTTTTACTACTCTCTAAAAAAAAGGTTTATTACAGAACCTGCATGCAGGGGAAGAACCTTTGAGGTTTCGTATGAATCTCGAACTTTAAAAAGTTTTTGCAAAAATATTCGAATCTTCTGTAGGTTCAGTAGATTCATACGAAACCTCAAAGGTTCTTTCCCTGGACGCATATTTCGTAATAAACCTATTTTCTTTAGAGTGTAGAATATAGAGAATTTTTTTCTCTTTCACACCATATACGACTTATTTTTATCACACATTTATAAACGAAATGGCATAACTGAAACGGCAAGTTCCGTTAAAATAAATTTGTCTTTTTTGTGAGATTCAAAAAGAGGCACGTAATGTTAATCCCTATATCTTCTTGATAAACACA